ATAGTTTTTGATCGATCAGTCTATAGGTAAACGTTAACAGGTAGAAATAGGCGCGTTATGACATATCGCACGACAAAAGCTGAACAAATATATATTTTTGAAACACCGCCAGTGGTTAAAGTGGAAAAAACTTCGGAGCGAAAGGGCTGTATTTACCGAAAACTAACGAGCGTTCCCGAGTACTAACTAAACCAATAACCATACACACTTTCAGGAAACCCATCATAAAGGAGACAAAATACTTCCATAATGTTTTGCGATCGCGCACAACATTTGTTCAGAAAAATGCTATACAAATAGGATTTAAAAATAAGCTGCACCACCCCGCCCCTTCAAATTTTATCCTACGTATCGTACGCTCAGTGGAAATTAAGTAAAACAGAGTCTGATTACGTATAGCGTATAGGTATAATCCAACAGTGATTGAAGAACACATTTTTAATAAACCAAATGTCCGATAATATCGAATATTCGAGTTTTTATAATTTCATTAAAAACTACTCAGTGAGTGGTGTTTATTTCAGACCTTTGACCCCGGGAGAAAACATTATCGTACATTTCTATGGGGGTATGCCAAAGGCAGAGCTGGGTCTAGAAATTTTTATTATACCCATGGAAAAAATAAAAAAATACGCTCAATGATGAATTTTTTTTTTTTGTAGCTCGTTAAAATATGACTATTTAAATGACACAATTTGTTTTATTTTATTGTAAACAAGATGACTCACAATCGGTCCATAACTCATTTCAAATATCATACCGTGTGTATTTGATGTACTTATATCATACATTTTCAGGGGTGGTCTACCGGTCACCTCCCTGAAATAATCACCGGGCCAATGATAATACGATTACAGCGTCTACCCGGACTTCAAAGATTTGAACCAAAAGGGACCGATAATTTTATCTTAAATAAGTAGAGTAATTCCGGTCCTCTACATACCCCTCACTTTATTTACTGAATACTGCAGTTCGAACGACGAGACCAACGAATACTTAATTTTATAGAGAACGAAAGTTCTTAGAATTTATTCGTACTTCAGGCAGTGTTTTTTTTTTTAAAATATACGATGTAAATACTCGTATTCGATTAATACTGAGAGGAATTTTTAATTTTTACCTACCTATTAAGCGCATTTTTTCGTGATCTTTCGTTCGGATAAAATGTCAAATAATATAATTCTCGGAACTTTATAATAAAACAAAAATATACGAGCTTAAATTTGTTTATCGTGATCCGGTGTTTGTATAGTTTTTTACGGTGATTTCGAGCAAAATTGAATTTTTATGTTTTTTTTTTTTTCAGCCATTACCTATATTAAATTGTACAGAATCGGTAAATTATATTGTTTGCAACGCATTCAACATTTGTATCGTATTCCGTAATACCGCGGTAATAAACGAGATTTTAAAATAGCCACCCCTATCACTGTTACTAATTACATTAAAAAAGAGAATATTTGTTTTAAAAATGTTGATACGTAATATGCATAGATAAAAGCTCGTACAATATTGGATTTACTGTTTACTTTTGTAATCGGGTGTGTCCCGTTTAATTGAAATTATAATAAATTAGTTAAAATGTTTTAAATATTTATTCCGGCCCCCAATGTGGAAAGGTTATCGTCTAAAAATGGATATGAAATTTACTACTCTCGCTCCTACTCCAATATTGTACTATTGAAAAACACAAATGAAAAAAATGCAATTTACTTAAAATACTCTGATAAAATCGCTGGATCGTCGTAAAATAAAACATCCCATACAGAGTGCCGTTGAGATATCTCGAAAAGTATATACTCACTATTTTTGTTTTTTTTTTTTTGACATCTCTTTACCCCGATTTAAATGCATTTAAAATCCACCAAAAAGCTCTTGAAAATGATAGAAAAAAAAAAAAAATCATTTAAACAATATTAAATATATCAGAGGGGTTTTACGAGTTCCCTCTCCACGACTGTTCTAAATTATCAAATACGATTTTCTAACAAATACGATTAACGCGAATTATTGTTTATTTATTTTTTCCAAAACGCGCAATTTTATTTCCGGACGAGGACCGCCGTCTGCCAGTCGGTGACGCCGGTCGACTGTTACGTATAATGCGAATCGTGTTACACGAAACTTAGGTGAACGCCGTTGTTATAAAATTAAACCGTTAAATGTTTGTTCTCGTAATTAAAAATTAAAATAGTTGTAGTAATAATATTTGTTAGCAAAGTAGCACTTAGTGCGAGTTGGACGCGCATCACTTTTCGTCGGCGTTCGTCGAATTAGTAATTATTAATGCCGGAGTGTGGGGCGTTTAATTGAAATCCGAACTCTTAAATCATCATAATAATTATTATTCATTACTATGTTATTACATTATACAAGCTCACGCGGCTCCGGAAATTCACGGGTAAAAACATTTCCCCCCCCCCGTTTCAACGGTAAGTCTTAGCTTAATTTTATTTTCGGACCCTTCTATATTTCCATATTCGTGTTCTCCGTTATTTCGCTCATATTCTCCTAACTCCACTTCTCTCGCATTCGCCAAAGTTCAAAATCTCTTTTAATTACTTTTTTTTTTTATACATCCTATCATAATTATTATCTCTTCTAGATTGAATATATTTCCATAGTGACTATTTTGTATAACCACCACCTTGTATTGCTCTAGTTTTGTTACGAAAAATGATTTAACCATCTGATCAAACCGAAAAAAAAAAATAAATAAAAACAAAACAAACTCGGATATACTTCACACACTTCCACTGAAAGTTGAAAAGATATAGCGAATGTAGGATAATTTATACACTGAAAAAAAAAAAAAAAACGATAAACCATTGTGATAGAAAGTCGATTCTTGATGGGGTGAGGTAATAGTCGGTCACCGTTTCCCTCGTTAACAAGGTAATCGGGTAATCGAAACAAATTAAATCGACGACGTATTCGTATTGTTAATTGCTGATGGGTTTTTAAAAATTTCTTTAGAAAAACTGTTCGAAACCTAGAATAATATTACGAATAAAGTATCACCGGACAAAAAATCCGCATATTTTTAGGTTACCCGAGTCAAAAAAATCTGCTCAATTTTTTTACTAGCCGAAAAAGATTTTTCCGAGAAAAATCAAAACATATTTTTAATACACTATACAATAGCTTCGTCGTTTCGCCCAGAATTTAAAAACTTAGGTACCTACGCTTATATTTAAACAGTTATAATTGTTATGAGCCGTAACTTACGAAGACGATTACGGACCGGAAGTTGTCGGAGTTGCATATTGTTCTAAATGCTCTCGGTTATATAGCGAACCGAACTAGAAATCTGTGCTATACACTGGACAGTTTAAAATTTGAACGTTCAAAATGCATAATACGTTACACATTCGTTACACGTCGATTATTATCGAGAAAAATCGTGAATTTCATTGATATTTTTTTTTATACGCATATTATGCATATTTTATGTTTTCTGAAAAAAAAAAAAAAAACAATATTTTCGTTTTATTAACCCATACGTATTTTAAATAACACCGCGAAATATAACATTCAACGCTATTAATTAACATAGGTATTTATTGCCATCGTGCACAGGTATTTTTCAATTTCGATTGCGCTCGCATGCCGAAATTATTTTTGACACGTTATCGGTAACCGTTATTCGTCTAATTTTTCAACTCGTAAACTATCAAAATCCCAACCAGTTTTCCGCCGTATTTTTAATTTATTTCGCGTATTAACAATACATTAGACGTTTTTTTGGTTTTTTTTCTGTACCTATATTAAATTTGTTTGAACATCAACGATTCCTCGTAAGCGTATTTCGTTTATTTAAGCTCCTACAACTTCCGAGCCCTCCCGAGTCACGAAACGAGATAAAAACCGTTTTATTTTTATTACGTCTATTTGTTAACCGACTTTCACCGTCGGCCATTCATTCTGCCTAATTAAAATAATAACGCATACCTGTACGCATTATTGAATGTACGCTTTTTAATAGGTTCGCCGGCTTTTACACCTCCGTTATCGCCGTTAATATAATATTTTCAAAAACGATATCCACCAGACGACGCCGTAACCGCAATAATGTTAATATTGTAGTTATGCACCTGTAACGGCGACGGGAACGGTATCATTATAAACATTCTACGCGGGTGCGGAGGTACAGGCACCTCGCCGTGAATTATTACGATGCGCGGACTGTTGTTAAACAACGACGAAAAAAAAAAAAACAAAATAATCAATAATTACAATTATAATAATAATAATAATAATAATATTATAATTGGCTTTTGGAGTTGTTGCGTTGCGGTCCGTTTCGTATGTAAAATACCCGTACAGTTATTTGTTTACACCGCGATAAGGAGCACGGTAAATTAAATAACAAATGCGTGTACGTAATGCCCCTATTATTATTATTGTTTTTTTTTTTTATTAACGGTGATTTTTTTTTCGACGTTTACTATCGTAATCATACGATTGTGTTGCCGCAGCGCTAATAAGAACGCGGTGCGCGCACGCAACGCGCACGGCCGCCGCGTTAAAACGCATTGTTCGCGTATATTTGCACGCGTACACGGCCCGCACTTGATGCGCGCGCGAAAGACACCGCCGCCTGTCTTGCGCACCGTACGCCGTTCCGGCCGTCGAAATGGAACAACTCCCCGTCTCACGCGGTCGGGTTTCCAGCGAAAATAAAGCAGAACCGTTGCCGCGCGGCGCCGTAACGCGCCCGAAAACGTTTTTATTCGCCGTGTACGCTATACGGGTTTTCGGCGCACACGCGCTCGCTCGTTGCGATATTAACAATATAACGTATTATTATTTGTTTTTTTTATTATTATTATTACAAAAACACGCGCGTTTTTGTCCGACCGGCCGAACTACAATACGGACGCCCGCGGACCGCGCGCACATACGTACAGTAACGGCGCGTATGTGGGAGGGTTTTGCGAGTTCAAACCTCCCCCCGGCCCGAAAATTACGGTCGGCGCGGCACACGTGCGTATTTATGAAACTATTTGATATCAACTGAAGTATCTACTTAGACCCAAAAGCTCTTTTTAGAAACCTCCCTCAAACTAATTTCTATATACGCCACCGCATGCTTGAGTCATATATACATACATACATAGATCTTAAAATTATTATTGTATCGTCAAAACATCATACGTAAACCGCAGTGTGCATACCTGAATTTACCCAGCTCCTTTTACTCGTTTACCCTTTGTGAATTTCGAAAATTTACCTCTCCGAATAGCGAATGAAATTTCGACGGCCGAGGGTGTCCGCTATTCAGAGGTACCATCGTAATTTTAACGGTGAGCATTTTCGGTAGTAATCGTATACACAATATTATAATTTTGACTCTGGATCGATTTTTTTTTTATCAAAACATTAAATTATTAGTGAAATGCCAAAGAAAAGTTCAATAAACAGATTGAAAACACGAAGAAAAAAAAACACGTCGGATCTCTCCGACCGGATTTTTTTCCCATTAAGACCTGGAAACAATTAACTGGATGCGCTGTTCATTAACGTACAGATATAATACGTAAATATTATATTTAACTGTCATATTACTACAGATAAAACCTCTATTATATACAATTTTTAGACGACTAAACCTTTAAAAAAAATAATCGCCAATCGGCATTTTTCGAAATATTTATTATTTAAAAAAAGCACAATTATTTAAATAAAATTGAAAATACAACGTTCTTATACCTTCGATATGATGAAGTTGAATAATATTTTTTAAAGGTCGTCTTATTCAAAATTATGACAAATTGTATAACTGGCAGTTTTTTCTTATAACCGATTTTAAAGGTTTTCATAGGTGAACAGCTCAACGTGTTCACGTTTTTGCTACATTGCCCGTTAGAAAGACAAAGACGGTAAATGCCACTGTGACGGCCCCTTAACGTAGACACATCATAAACCGTATGCCAGGGCCTATTTTTGTCATTATTCGTACTACATTTTTTTTTCTCCGAGCAAACAGCCGCAGATCCAATGTAATCCCTCGCTTTTTACAACCGCACTACCATTAAAAATAATTTTGACATTTTTTCTTAATATCGTCACACGTTTTCAACATGAAATTTAACACAAATAAAAAAAAAAAACAGCAATTAAATCGTTAGATTTTGTTTCTCTTCTGAATGTTACAAATCGTCAATACCATAGACCATTTTTTTAAACATATATTTGAAAATCTACAAAAGAGGCGTGGAATCTGTGAGTTTAGGAACCACTGCTATAGACTGATATTGAATGTACGGTTTACAGTATATAATCGTCAAAGTAATTTGTAGATACATTAGATTAGTGTTATCGAGACATTTTTAGATTCCGAGCATAGCGAAGGAGCTATTGGTTTTACAATGTTGTTTATTTCTTAATTTTTTTTTGTTCTTTGTTTTAACTGTCGACACGTTTTTTCCTAATAAACTTGCTCCGATTTTTACGGGTAGCAACTTTTCCGAAAGCTCAAGTTGTCAAGATGATACTCTAAAGAGATCATTTTTCGATTTTCGACGCTTTTTTTAAATAAAATCACATAAGTGAGAAAACACGTAGGAAAACGTACAATTTTATAAAAATACGGACGACATTTTCTACCAGAAAAAATGTAATAAACGAAAAATCACAACACTTTTTTGTTGCTTTTTTTATTTAATTTCTTACGGTGACATCGTCAAAATCATTGAGCTTTTTTTGAATTTTTAAGGAATTTTAATTTTTGGGAGTTTTTTTGCTGTAATTCGGTTATAGATACGAGTAGAAACTTGAAACTCTGTCATAATACTTACGTTGGATTTATTTAGACGTGGTAAAATTTCCAAAAATTACCGGACGACATTTTATTTTTTTAATAAACGTTTTGAAATCAAATTTAAACGAAAATCGCAAAAAAAAATAAATAAATACGGCACTTAAAAATTATGTATTACCAAACTGTGCTCGGAATCGTCTTTCGTCAAGCAATGGTTTATCGTTGATTACTGATATAAATGAAATAACCTTATGTGTTTTACTTTTCCAAGTTCTCACCTACAACAGTGGCCGCTCCCATATCCAGTATTAGCTGTTTTTTTTTTTTTTTTTTTTTAATTCTGATTGCTAGAATAGTTATTCTAAATAATTGTTAGTCATTATACGCATTACAATTTCGGGGTACACACGTCGGATTTCGTATTACTCGCAGTGTGTCATATTACACAAAAAAATATTGGGTCTGGCGGCGTATAATTCGTTTATTTGGCATCGAATTACAAGTTCCTCATTATAGCATAATAATAATATTATAGCCCATCAAACACCGTGACGGTAACCATTTAGTTATAATTAAATTAGGTAAACTGTTTTTTTTTACCATTTTTTTTTTCACCATTTTTAAATATACATGCACACTATTTTAACGGTTTCGCGTAATTAATTCGTTTTTCGTCCGTCATGTCGACGAGGTATACCGCAGCGGAGAATTTTCTATACTTAAAAATTCCAAAAAAATTAACTGGAGGGGCTTAAGTTTCCATGATTTTAGCATGTATAATGTGTACGATTATTAATATTTACTTTACAAAGACCGTGGAGAAAATATGACTGCTAAGACCCCCATCCCCAGCCACCCATATCCTACTATCCTGTTTGCACGTATGCAGGGACGCGAAAAAAAAATCGAGTTTAGGTACACGGTCGCTACCTATTTATATAATAATATTCGGGAATGCATATTATATTTTAATCAGATTCGATAAAACGGCACTGCGGCCCAGTGTTTGTGGATTATTAATATTTGCGCATTTGTTAATAATAATTTCAGTTTTGTTTGTGTGCGCGTTTCCATATTAAATAGAACCGGCGGCGTACGGCCGGTGTAACTCGCCGTGGGTGGATATTGTATATGGAAATGTTTCGGGAAGCTGTACAAACGCCACCGTCGCACTTCCGCGGGCAGTCAACCGCGAAATTCCAGTTAGATACACGCAGTAAGAGCGAATCGCCGACCTCGGGGATTCGATATAAAATATTATTATTGTTGTATTGTAGGTTTTAACAAACATTCTTAATTCGAATTCTATTTAGACACGAGTACCTACACATATTTCTGTTCAAATACAATATAATATCGAATTTTGAGTTTCGAACGCAGGAAAAAAAAAATCGGTGGCGACGGGTGAGGGCGCAAAAAATATCTATATCACGTTTCGCCTTTGTAACGCGGTCAATAGTTCATTATTTTAAATTTGAATCAAGGGTTTGTCATATTTCGGAAGAGGATTAAAACCAACATGCGTTCCGCCACATGCGTCTGTCACCGACCTAGGTGAATTAGTAAATTGTATGCTTTCAGTAGATACGCTACTTATATAATTTAAAGTAGATACGGGATAATATTATATGCATCAGCGACACGCCTAGGGAGATGGGAGGGGGGGGGTGTTTCAAACACCCCTCGAAATTTAATGAATTTAGAAAAAAATAAAGGCTTAATGTTTTTTTTATACAATTTAAGTTTAGTATTACAAACATTCACCAAGGTTATGTTTATAATCCATTATACGATTGATAAGATAAGATAATATTGATTGTGGTCCGTGAACATAAATCAACAATACTTATCTGTTATTCTTTATTATATCACGTTATTTTTATTACCTATTGTCGATCAAAACGACAGCAATTATTATTTACATACTATACGAGGTTGCACATGTGCCAGTATAGTTACGTGTTCCATTTATCTAGCTATGTAAAAGAAATAAACGTGGTTTATTTCGATCACGTTCATTACGGTGAATAAGTTCAAAACATTTAGAATACAATATTACTACGTGGGTTTAATCATATAATTTATTTTTTTAATCACGGTACGACTTCAACAACTTAGGTTATTAGCTTATACGTGTAGAAATAAAGATAAATGTTTACATATGGGTGAACACAATAATTATTCTAAATTTACTACTACGTATTATCGGTGTGCTTGAGGAATTAGACAACTTTGTCATATTGTGATATTTATTTATGCTCAATAGAGCAATATAGTGTGTATATACAAATACAATAAAATATAATTTAACTCGCTAAATTAATTGATATACGGAACAAAATATTATAATAAAAATTAAAAAGTACAAAAATAACTGTAATCGTATCTTATATAAGTAAATATCTAATAAAACTTATCTTTTCTCCTTTCTTTTATTTATTTGAAATCCACACATAAATGCTGAAATTTAGATTCTTTATCATAATTAAAATCGAAGTCCAAGGAGTTGCAAACCGACAGCGCATTCGGCTTTTAATTTCATTAAAACTATAAGTTTGAAAATGAAGTGACTCGTAAAAAATAATCTTTGATCTGCTGTAAAAAGTTTGAACTAACTAACCTATTTCTTCAAGGATTTCTTCAAGGAAATCAGGACGAATAACGTCATTATTTAAAATTTTAAACATAAATGATGCATCGTTATACATATGCCTGGAGGAAAGTGATTGCATACCTAGTTTCAAAGCAAGTTCCTTTATTGCGAAAAGTAGTCTAAAATTGAAAGATAAATATCTTCAAAAGAAAAATTGAATATTATTTAAATGGCTTATAAGGCGAAGCTGGGACGGATTTCAAATGATCAACCCATATTTCATATTCGAACGAACAAGAGAACAAAATAGCACTTTTAGACATTGAATATCATTGAAGTCCGCACATTATCGCCTGTTAAACCCTACCATGCGCATCGTTTTGCCATAAATAAAGGAAATATGTTCAGGAAAAGAGAGATCAGCAGATAGAATAACACCTAAATTCTTAATACAGGAGGTTAACTTTAATATATTATATTACCTAATGAAACAAATACATTTGAAATACATGTTAGTAAATATTGAAACTGTCCCCCTCCCCCCAAAAAAAAATGTCTATGCATATTCCTGATAAGCGTGTAGAGTTCTTAAGGTACGGTTTCCCTGCTCGCGTTTGACGCAGCATCCGGCGTCAGTATCGGGCGGATCAGTGTAGCGTCAAGACGACCAACGTTAACATATCAACAAATAACAAATTTTCGATTTCCCCAACAGAGTACGAAGCTTTGATTGCACTCGCATAAAGTTATTTTCGATAATAACCATAAAAAGCACAAAGATCATTTGTTTAATGACAATATTTTGAAAAATATGTTTGAAGAAGTTGGGAGAGTAAGTATGTATTGAATGCTGTACAAAATTAAATTTGAATCTATGTGCAAAAGAGACAACGGTCGCAGTGGTTATGATTTAATTTTGTAAAATTAAACTGAAAGAGTGAGGTGAAATAATGAAATCTATGGCGTCGGACGCTACCGGGAAAACGGGGTAAATGCCATGTCTAGACGCCGCGTCCGGACGTTGCAGGGAAACCGTACCTTAACGAATATTAAAATTCGATCTAAATATAATACATATATATATTTTGTAGTAATGAATATTGCGTTCTGCAGTTACTCCAAAATTTTAATAATATCCTGGTCAAATTTACGGCATAATAGCGTGGAAATGTATGCAAAATTATTTGTATTTTTACCAATCGATTTTTAAATTAAACAACAATAAATTAATAAACCCGAAAATATTTAGAGTTGAATATAATTAGAGATTTTTCCAACGAACACGTGTATACCGTGTTTTCAAAATATCAATAAATGTTTTAATAATATCTGAACACGGGAAAAGGTTTATATATATATTTATAACTGTTGATTGTTGTCCGAATTCGGCGTAGTGCAGGTGCCAAAAGCGGGCTACATAGCACGGATGCGCGGGTGGTCCAACTTCAAAATTTCCCGCCAGTCCTGAATTAATTTTAAATCATTTTAAAATAAACTGATTGTACCGCCCGACGTTGTCCGTGCCAAACAAATGTGCAATAACAACTTTGTTCTCATGGATTCCTGTTTCAGTCCCCGTCACTATTACTACAATTAACCGTTGTTGCCTTTAAAGTTTTAAAAATGCATTTTCTTCTAAAACTTATATGAATTGGTTTTATAGTTACTAAGCATTATAGTTCAATAAATTATTATTTTTATTCAGCCCAAACTACTGCAGTAACCTGCAGTAACCTAACAGTCTACTGCTTCTAATGGTCAGATCGAGGATTTCAAAAGTTTTAAACTTTCTCTGGACAACTCGAACCGTTATGCAAAACATCGCATGTAAATTAATCCAGAAGTTTCGGAAATAACTCGTTACAAAAGTAAAATACAAAATCGCTGAATATTCCAGTGGATTTTCCTGACAATTACAAACACAAAAAAAAAAAAAAATTCAGCGGAATTGGCGGAGCCGTTCACAAGTGATGATCTTTCATGCATGCGACAATTTATTGATTTTTTAATTATTTATGTATAGATATTAGTATACAGAGAATAAAAATTCTCGATTAATAATTATTGTGATTTGATTGATTTAACTTAATAATCAACAAACATTATAATATTACGCATTGATTATGAATTAAAATCTGTTTATAAGTATAAATTAAATAAACAATATTTGGTTAGCAGAAGTACGATAACATTTTAGACAAGTAAAAATAATAAATGATTTACTATGATGTGGTTGTTTGTGCCAGTAATCAACTCTTTTACCACATGTCTTGCTCCGATTATCAACTGTGATTTCTGTTAGAAAATGTTGGCATTGTGAAAGTAACGTTTTAAATTCATCTGTATTTTTCTTGATGATCGGAAAAATGTGAAAAAAAACGGTTAGAAAACGAGGAAACCTCATGATAAATACTGTTCACGGAGAGTTTCTAGAAAAACCAATCGAAAAATTAAAAAATTGACAATCCAACGATTGATTCCTTGTTTGATAGGGCATGCCAGCATAATATATTATGTAGAACGTTTTTCTAGATCCAGAAATTAATAACCAAAATTTAGTTTTGGATAACATAAATAATAACAGCCAAGCTATACAAATCATGGAACAGATACGTTTACACTCTTGACGCGATAAGAATAAAATCAATAATAAACCACCGACTAAATGAAATGTACCTACGATGGTTTTATTTTATACTCACTACCTAGGTACATTTTACGTATAATCGTAACACCATGACAGAACATTACTATTAGTTAAAATAAATATCATGATGGAGATTCAAACGTAAATAATATACGGACGGTTAGGTGCACGCTTAACGTGTATGGATATTTGGCAACGTAAAAATGGAAGTAAAACTGTTGTAGTGCACGCAATCGTACACCTAAAAAAGTACCGTTGATAAGGACCACGTTTGGTGCTTTTAACTTTGAAATAAATGTATGTTTACCACGATCTAATCAGTGTGAGTGTCCTGTGATTATTTTGTATCTAAAATTATTTCGTACTTAACTATAGCTGTCCCGCGGCTGGCGTTGCCAGGGCCAATTTTTTATTATTTTTACTTTAATTCCCTTTTTGTTTTGCTCGTATCTGTATATTGAACGAAAACAAAATCGGCGGAAAGTGGGTAGTCTAATGGAATAGAAGTAATTTTCTACACTATCATACATTTTTTCATCCATGTTACTACAGACACCCGGGCAACACAGGGGTTAAACTATATATTCGCAATAATAACGCTAAAATACTGGAGCTTAATAATTGTGCTGTAGTGCCGTTACTGTATAACAAAAAATACAGTCTTTTCACTTTTCACTTATCCACCCAGTACAGGACCTAGTTTTTTTTTTACCCAGAAAACCCATCTTATTTCAAGTTATTATTAGACCTGCAGTCAGTAAGACTTTATTTTGACTTACTATTGTGTTGTAATGATATTTGTATTTCGGTATATTATTTATTTTTTTGTTTTATATTTTTTTTCCATTTCATCCGTGTTACTCGAGAGTAATCCATGATTCAACAGAAATAATTTAATTTCCGTACGAAAAATACTTAAAAACCTTTCATCCACTCCTAATTTAATTTTCGCTACCGAAAGTAGTCCCCGATAAATCTATATCCCATAACAAAATTCATCGGCGGCAGTTTATACGTGAAAACGTAACAGATGGCAGTCTTACTTTTACATTTTGTAGATGATTTTTTAACAGTTTGCGTAAATAATTATCAAATATTACAGGGATTTTTTTTCTGAAAATAATAACTACAATAGAGAAGGTAGTATTAAGGTTTTTTGTGCATTTTTTTTTTTTTTCAGAAAGGATTATTATAAATTCGAGTGCGCTCGTCGAACTTCTATTATGTGTTGGCCTCGGTTTTATCATCCTTTTGGATAAAACTTTTGGCGCCGTCATTGTCCTAAGTCGGTTCATATTCCAAAGTCCATTAATAAAATCGATTTCCCATCGACGTCGCTGGCTGCACTGGTACGAACACTACGCATACGGTCTAACGATTATTATCATTTTCATATTTATTTCCATTTGATTTATTGTGCGCGGTTTTCATAAAACAATATCCTCGCATAATAACGTGTGACCCACAGTGTAAGCTGTTCGGGACCGCGGACCGTAAATGCAAATAATTATGCGTATAAAATAATATTTCGAAAATGTATTCGACTAATACGATCAAAAGCCGCGCATTTCACGTAAATCCATAAATGCATAGCAAAACAAAAACAAACCGAATTTATAACATGCATGCCTACAACGGCGGCGTAACGGATTCCCACATTTTTGAAATAAATTGTAAAAAAAAAAAAAAAAAAAAAAAATAAAAACTGTACCGGATATGAAAAAGAAAAAAACGTTTTGTTTTTCGGAAATGCGTGCATGCAATACGCTTTTTTTTTTTCAACTTAAACACCGAGTCATTCCAGAGAGAAGAAAAAAATTTAAATAGCTTTTTACGCGTGTAAAACGTGATAAAATTCCATTTCAAGTGTTTGCCGTTCGTTTTAGTTTAAATACGATTACGATGATATCCCGTCGTCCGTCCCCTTTGATGTTAATTAATAATAAAAGGTGTTTCTCCGCGTTTGCGGCTTTATTTCCAATATATTTTGCCGATTATTGTTATCACGGTTATCATGGCTATCGGATGTTACGCGTCACACGGCTTTACGATAATTAGATAAATGAAATCGTCGCGCACTGTTGCGACCTGCGTGTAATTAGTTATTATCGACTGCGGGTGTCGGGTTAGGTCGGGTGAGGACGGGCTTTCCGCCGTCCAACGCGTTTCGGTGCTTTCGTTTCGAAACTCGTAAAATATTCCGCTCCGAGCCCGGGCCGGATAATGTTGTCGAGGAGCCGGGGCTCGACTGCATGCTCGCGATCCGACTGTAAAAACTGTTTCGCTCCGAAAAAATAAAACCACTCGGGCCATAAACATAATTTGGCGATCGAATTTTTCACCGTATAAAAGGGAAAACTCGCACTGCGCAGCGTTGGCGTTATCCGTTCGGCATTAAGCACGGCTAACGCACAAAAACAGTTGTACCATTGTTTGAAAATCGAATGATTTCAAGTTCTTCAGACTCGAATAACTTTTACTTCGCAACGGCGATAACGAACAACCAAAACCGACGTTGCGCAATACGGGCTGTTTTTTGTTCTGTACGGCGTGAATTCGGTTTTTTAACTGCGATTAACCGCGTGCGCCCGAGCGGTTTTTGGCCGCGCGAAACGGTTTTTCGTAAACAGTTTCGTTTAGTTCACGATTACACGATAAATACTCGTGACGGCCAAACCGTACTGTTGTAGCATTGTATTCGAATATTTTTCGAGTCGACGGGGTGTGTAATGTTTACGAACATTTCGAGAAAATCGCCTACGCGCAAACACTCTTGAATACGAGAACTGGCACGACCTCTTGATATTTCGAAAATATCCAATGTACATAATAAACGAAAATCGGTAATAATTTATAACGATAAGATTGTACCCGGGCCGTGACAGAATTATTATACATTATTATAAATACTTACATTTTTTAATTTTGAAAGTGGCGGCTCTATTTATTTTACAATGACTCGATTTTTTTTCGCTTGTTTTTTTTTTTTTTTTTTATTAACATAAAAATATAAAATGATTGTATTGGAAAAATAGTATCCCGGAGTGGCGGAGTAGCGAAATGTACCAGCCAATTTAAAAATCGCTCGGTCCCGGATAAATTGATTTCTAAATTAGGATAATATTATACGACGATACCATTTCGGGAAAGCATTTTCGACATTTCCGAGTTTACAGTCTAAAAACGTATATAGATTTTAAATTGCGTATTTTTAAGCGAAATAAGTATTTTTATACGATATAAAAAAAAAAAAAAAATTAAAAAAATATCAAATATAAAATAACTGCGATAATTTAACGTTTTAACGTGCGGAGAAGCAAACGCGGGCGACGTCAAGTGGAGGGGCGGTGTAAAATTATTACCCTGTCTATATACCGCCCTTCGTATTATATTTTACTCGTAGAAAATTTAAATGCAATAAATAATAAAATAACGGTTCGATATTCGGTAGCTATATAGTTGTACCATAATATCATTACGAAATTTCCTGAAAAATGTTACGCCGTTATAAAAAAAAAAAAAAACAAATAGGTACCATAAAACACTATGAAGCTGTTAAGACGAAAATATTTACTGTTTTAGTTTTTCCCTGAGTGAGGCCGTAGGTGGGGGAGGGGGGGAGGGGGAAGGATTAGATAACCGACAAAAACGAATCGTTAAAACGAGCGATTGTTAAATTGCAATGTTTCGCGTGAGAAATATAAGTTCGTAATTTGATAATTGTAATCGTCCAATAAGCGAAACGTACTCGTAATTATATTATTATAATATAATATACTGTTAGGCATATAATATTCTCGACGAGATAATCACCGTTGTTCGATAATATTTCGAAAAGCCATATTTTTTTTTATTATTATTTTTTTTTTTTATTTAAAACGAAAACGTATTTCCAATGGTTCCGGAAAAATGTTTTAAAAAAAAAAAAAATATAATTTTTTTTTTTTTTTTTTTTTTTTTTTTAATATATAATTACAAACGAAAATTTCCGTTCCCGCAGCGGATATTCCATTTATTATTTTAGCTATAGTCACGTGTATATTATACACGGTGATATCCGACATTCATAAATTCAATTGACGGTACACATTATACAGTACCGTACTAAACATACATAAACATAGTATAATATACAGATAGGTGCATTATACGTACCGGTCGTTTTAATGGAAACGACGGGGCTGCAGTGCAGCGTTCTGTACTGTTAATAATTGGTAGATTTGTTTTGCTGTCCAATTAATATGATATTCGCGCGATCCGGACCAACGCTCCGAATTTATACAAACCGAACGAGGTCATTTTTTTTTTTTTTTTTTTTTT